GGGACGGACCGGGTGGGTTGTACCACAACTGCAGTTGTTCAGAGAGAACACACTTTCCTGTTGCACCCGTGGAGAACAGGACCGTGCTTAGCCACTCTCTCTGCTCAGGAGGAAGGCTAATCCTGAAGGACTCCAATGGGAACATCTGGAAACACAGCGTCAGCAACGAAGCTCCAAACTTTAGAAAGAGAGAGCAGGAATTCTGGCAGCTGAACTACCTGATTCTGCTTTGAAATAACACCACCAACCTGAGCTGTGGGATGTGATGGAGGACCAGGAGTGGTGCTGGATGCTGTGAACCACACACAGTCAAACGTGGTTGTTAAGATCAAACCGTGACCACATTAGAAGCAGCTTAGATAGCACTGCTCATCCCTGAGGAACATTAAAATCACCCTGGTCTTAAACCTTACCGTAAGGAACCGTGGCGCTCCCCAGATTGGTATCCTGGCACTGAGGGGACAACGATGATACTGATAAAATCCTTAAGGTGGTGTTGGACTGGACGTCTGCGTTGGTGGTGCACATCAGTGAGCAGGAAGTGGATGGAGCAGGAGTACAGTCCATGTCCATACTGAGGATGTACTGTTTTAGCTTACTAAACTGAGAGTTGACATTCCGAACCCGTAGCCTCCTAATCAAGTTCCTGTAGCTGAGACACGGAGATGGAGACGTTTTAGCAATACAAACCACAGATTGTGCAGCAGTCACGACAGGAATGCTCCCACCTGCGTATTTTTTGCTCTCTGCTCTCATACAGCTCCCTGTAGGTGAGGGAACTGTATGTGCCGAAACCAACCATCCGGTGGCCCATGGCCTCCATCTCTGCCCGCCTCTTGGCAGATATGGCAGCGGTCACTTCTGGGAACAAACGAGCGTACCTCAGCAGGACGTCCTTGTATCTCTGAAGCAAGGTGGTGCTTTTGTCGCACTCTTGCTCCACCTCATGGCTTGCCAGAACCTTCACCATGTAGTCCCGGTCATTGTTTAAAAGCCAGCTGAAAGTCTTTCCCTTGTACACACCAAACTGCACCTTCAACTTTCCGAGCATAGAGCGATGGTCAACGCCTTCGTGTGTTTGTGACGCGACTTGCACCAGCGACTCCGGTGTCTGTGGCTGGGCTGCCTTACCAGCAGCATGGCTCACTTGAACCTGCTTCTGAGGGCCAGCAGGCCGGAGGGAGAACTGAGGTGCATACATATCTGTGGGGAGGGGAAAAAAAAAAAGATGGAGTTAGACACACAATGTGCTAATAGTGAAGCTAATTTTTTGTTTAGTGTTTTTGCCATCTTTGAAAATACATTTAGCTTCCATTAAATTCATTTTCTGGATCAATTCTAATTCCTTTGGTTGCTTTGCAAACTTTCAGTTGAATAAAGTTTGACGTTTGTATTGAAGTTTCAGTTATCAACTGTTCTTCAAGTAGACACTTTACATTAATGCTCTTGTTTTAAAGCAGTTCCATTTCCTTTCCAAACATTCTCTCTTTTTTTTTTCAAAGGAACTTTGTTGAGCCAGTATGCAACAAAGAAACTAATGAGATATACAGATAAATACAACACTTACATGAACACACAACCAGGTTTTAATTAAACAAATGCATGCAAAACATAAAAAAAAAAACTTAAGTGAATAGTTTTGGGAACATTTTTGTTGGTACTCCTTAGGTTCTCCATTTATGATGCAGTGAGGCAAATAATGTTTAAAATAAACAGTTTGAAGTCTACTCATGTCCTGTGTGCCTTTTAACAAAGCCCTACTCAACGATTATAAAACTAAAACGATGACTGAAAGTTCTTTACCAAAGAATCCCTTTCTAAAGTGCAACTATGAAAAAAGTGTACAATAAACTTTTTTTATGAGTCAGCCAACTTCTATAGCATTGCTCTGCAACCTTTGAAACCTAAGTCAATCAATCAATTTTATTTATAAAGCACCATTCATACTAAAAGCAGCTCAAAGTGCTGTACAGATCAATAAAAACAGTTAACCCCACATGGAGAAACTCACAAATGCATGGAAAATGCACAAACTAAGCAGAAATGATTCAATTAAGGAAATACAGTTAAAAAGATGCGTCTTGAGTCTGCTCTTAGAGACGGCAACATTTGCCATTTTGCTCAGGACAGCTAAATAAAACTTGTTCAGAGCCGCAAACGTCACATGACTTTTTAAATTTCTTATTTTTAGGATGTGAAGTGAAGGTAAACATGAAAGAATTTTTTAAAGCACATGGATACCATTAAAAAACACACACACACACACACACACACATGACAAGGAAAATATATCTAGAATATATGACTGTTACTTTTAGTATCAATCTTTGCAAATACTGCTAGAATTTTTTTGGGGGGAAAACTGTTAAAAACTTTTATGTTTTATTCTATATGTATTTGAAAAGCTTAACTGGTTGCTTTTAATTTTTATGGAAAAACTATTAGCAGCAACTGCAGAAGAGCCATAAGTTGCAAAGCCGTTTTATATAGTGTAATATGTTGAAGCAGCAGCCATATGAGAGGAAGGGCTTGGATGTGCTCACTACGAAGACCAGTTGTGTCCTAAAATGTCCCCTCGTCTCAGTGCAGATGGTGGGAATTTCAGTTTGGAAAAGCCAGTTCACGCCTAACTCCATTCGCAAAACAGCTCAATTAACAAAAAAAACTCACTCTCACACAATTTTCACTAAGCGAAAATGTGAAACAACCGACGACTGTTCCAAAGACATTCTCTCAGAAACTTCGGCTAATGCTTTTGAGAGAACCACGAATAGAAGTATTACTTTTTTGTGTGTGAAAATTACGCAAATAAAGAACTACCTTCTGCTGTAGCGCTGCTCAGTTCTCCCGCGGAGAAATTCAACAATCTCAAAGACTCGTCCACAGACGCTCCCTATGACGTCAGGGCGTAAAAGGTACTACATTTACACTACACTATATATGGAGAGCTAAATGAGACCAACAAACAACACTGCACAACTTCTCCAAATGACACAACCTAACAGCGACGTTTTGTCGCAAAACACCTGGAAAACCTACACAACAGAAAGCACGTGAGCTAAGTTTGTCACGTGACCACCGCTGAAGCTTTTATTTTGTAGCATCTTTCTTTGTTTAGCCACTATTTAGTTTGCTAACTGTGCGCTAGATTTTTAACACTTCTCCGAAATAATTGGATACATACACAAAAATAAAAAATATTGTGAAGAGTTAGGCACATTTTTTTTTACTTTTACTTGGGCAGCATCTATGCTAGGTAAATTATGTCATGGGAAAAAGTCCAAATAATAGTTCTTTTTGAAGGTAGAAATATACATAATAATCACAATTTCTTATAAAGGCCCCCTAAGTACTTCTGTTTGGACATTACCTGACCATTTGCAGATTTTATTTTTTCATGTTTTTTCTTGAAGACAAACATAAAATATTCATCCTTTATCCCTTGTTTCAACTCCTATACATGCTCAAATTTCTGCATTTTGCACTGCACACTCAATAAAAAAACAACAACAAAAAAAAAAAAACACTGACCTGCTTCAATTTTTTCATTGTACTTCCTCCAGATTTGATTATGGGATGCGCTTGCTGTGTTTTCACAATGACAGCATGTCCAGAGTTGCAAAATCCCAAATGTTCTTAATGGATTGAAGCTCTGTATTCTGTAGTGACTAAACCATGTTTAAAAAAAAAAAAAACAATCTCCCATGCACATTTTGCACAAATCCTGACATACTTGGTGTGAAAAATACATGACCGTATTTTCAAATTCATAGAGCAACCGCTCAACTGTAATAAGTCATTTTGAGACATTCCTAAGTGCTCAAGTCAAGTACAAGAAAACTGGACTTCTTTTGGAGGCGAACTGAAGGAAGTCTCTATGCTGTTTCTATGGCCACTGCATAGAAACTCAGTGGCCACGCTACAGAAACAAGCTCAGGAGAAGTGGCTATGTTGGTTGTAAAAGCCTTTCAGAAAAACAGTGGAGGGAAAATGGAGGAAAATCTGCAACATGCTTTGACATTCTGGGATCTGTCACACACAGAGACAAAAAATACGGAAGGTGGTCAGATTTGAACATGCAGGAACAATCTGGCGATTGTTCTGATTCTATCCTCCTCCAGTCTGCAGCTGGTAGAAGCTCAGTCTGACGGCCTCCTGCCTGCAGACACTTATGATTACTGAAGATTAATGTTTAAAAATAATTTGCTTAGGCATCATATCATAACATTAATATCCGGAACGCTGAACAAAGGCCCCTGTAAGCATTTCCATGTTTGCCTACAAGCATTGCATATCTGTATTCCTATATGCCGAACGCGTCAGAAATGTTTGCATATTTTTTATTTTTTGCTCAACAAAATCAGAGTTTTGCCCCTGCTCTCTACAGAGCAGAATGACGATGTAGGGGATCTTGTTGGTCTTCTTTCTCTCAGGTAGGTACATTTTATGTTGGTTATGTTAAGTGAAAATTTAGGCTTTATACTCTGCAACAATTGTTGCCGGCAGGAAACTGCATAGTCTAAATTACACAAATCTGGCCAATTTACACATAGAAAAAAAAATAAGAAAAATTATGACATGCATAAACTTTTATAACAAAGAACGGTTATAAGATTATAAGAGTGTTCAGAAATATTTTAGGTACATATATTCAATGCCACACCCTGCAGATGTCATTGTCTCAATGTGCTAACCAAGTGACCTTTGAACTTGGGGGAGGGGTTCAACTGTGGGAATGACTGATGTAGGAGACATCTTTTGGAGGTTCCTTCAGGTCTAGAAGGTCTAAAATATCTGTTAATTTAAGCCATGGGGAAACAGCAATGTATATAGAATAAACAGGCAAACCATTTAGACATAGCACAGTGCTATGTATATATTATGCTAGTAGCAACAGTTGTTACTCTTCTTACGATCAACAGATGAATCAAGGGATACAATTTTCTTTATATATCAGTAGAAGACACTTGAAAGAACATGTGTTCAAAATATTTTATTTATATTTGTTTATTTAAATATTTTGCTGACTTCCTCTTGGACAGCTTTGTGACTGACATTTGCCTCCAGCATTACAGGCAGGAAATAAAGAGGTCGGGTCATGTGACCTTTCACACTAGCTACATGAAATTGATATTGCTTAGAATAGACACTATTATTTTTATTTAAAAACTTCAATTAGCTGCCAAAAGTCAAATTTCTTTTAAAGCTTCCAGAAGTTCAAAAAATGTCCTACCAAAAATTGTTGCTGGTGGGATTAAATGGGTTTTAATTGCTTTAATGCTGTGGAAAAAGTTACATTGGTGGAATAAGACCTTGAGAGTTTATGAGGAATGTTTTATGTTTTATTCCTAATAGAGAGGTTCATCCTCTCCACATGCATCCAGCTTCAGTATCACTTTGTCTCTGGATCTTTCACCTGGAGCGAAGCTCAGGCCGACTGCAGAGAGAAACACACAGTGGAAAATGTTGGGATGATTCCTGCAGCTTCTCATACCCATTTATCTGCTACAACGGTAATGATATACAACTACTACATTTCAGTATTGACAAAGACTTCATCATAAAATGTGCAAATGCTGCTCGTTTTCATCCTGTACTGCAGGCAGAACGTCAGAGACCTGGCTACCATCAGGAACGACACAGAAAACCAGAGAGCTCGAAGTTTGGTGCCTAGTGGGACCGTAGCATGGACTGGCCTATTTAGAGATCCAAATGTGTACTGGTCTGATAGGAGCAGCTTTGTCTACAGCAAGTGGGCAGATGTTTTAAAAATAATAGGCTCCAACTGAGTACTTTGTGGTGTGACATGGAATAAAGGTTATTGGAGGTTTCGCACAGGTGAAAAAAAAAGTTCATTTGTTTGCCACAGCCTCCCAGGTAAGTGTTTAAGTGGTTTTCCCTTATTGATGTGCATGTAGGACAACATGAGCTGCAGCTTTATTTTTCTTTCTCTCATCTTGTTTAAAAAGTAGAAATGAAACAGGTTGTGAAACTGAGATTGAAGACTGAGGACTCTGTCAATCTGAATGATCCGCTTCTGAGGGCAAACATCCTGAAAAAGGTAATTTTTGGAAATAAAAAAAAAATTACATTTCTTTGGAACACTAATCAGTTTAATCAACCCATCTCCCAAACCCACACTTCCCTCACCAGCTGCAGGACAGACTGAATGAGAATGGGCCGAGTGTAACCACCTTGAAATGGAGACAGCAGCCTGATCTCAGCATGGAATGGTTTATATAAATCTGGTTATACCTTTGGTCATTGGCAGTTCAAATGTAATCATATAGCCACAATCTGTAATAATCCGTGATTAGATGACGGGTGAAGTCAACGTGCCAAGCCAGCCTGGACTTGAAACTCATCACCAAAGATAAATGATTGTAAATTTCTGCTTTGCTGCTTTGGACTAATCTAAGCTTCGTTTGATCCGATCCAGTGGATTGGTCAAAACGTGATTAACTTGTGTCAAACTTTATTCTGTGTGAATATCAATAATAAACTTATTTTGTCACAAGTGTGATATGTCACTCACTGGAGGAAAACGGCGGAGAGGAAAATTACTGTATTATTCCAATTATGAGTTCTTTTGAACCGCAGCAGCCGTGGAGCCAAAATAGATTTAAAAAATGTGATCACTAAGGTCTCATGAAGTAGCATGACATAAGGTACCTTTTTCATGTATAAAAGTAAAGGTTATACTGTATTTAATAATTTAAGTTAAGCTGCATGGACATAATCACTCACAATATTGATCAGTTTTCAAAGGACCATACTGTACATCCTGCACTTGTATTTTATAATGAAACAAAAGTGCTTTTCATAAAAAAAAAAGAAAAGTGTTCAAAAGCGAAAAATAACGATTCAAATTGTTAAAATGTATCAATGGTGTTTATTACTTTGTTACATTAAGTAACAAACGGGGAGCTGCGGGATTCCCGTCTTTTCTTCTCCCGCTATTAACAGACAGGGAGGGACTACAACAAAGTCCACCTCCACTGAGCGCCTCATCCAATCACAGCCACGGGACGGTACGGCTCAATTTCCATACAGCATGTATAACATCAGCGATTCCTCTTCAGCAGTTCATTCGTCGCTGCAAGTTTCCAGAGACAACATGCCAGAACCTGCAAAGTCTGCGCCCAAGAAGGGCTCCAAGAAAGCGGTCACCAAGACCGCCGGCAAAGGAGGCAAGAAGAAGAGAAGGACCAGGAAGGAGAGCTACGCCATCTACGTCTACAAGGTGCTCAAGCAGGTCCACCCCGACACCGGGATCTCCTCCAAGGCCATGAGCATCATGAACTCGTTCGTCAACGACATCTTTGAGCGCATCGCCTCCGAGGCCTCCCGTCTGGCTCACTACAACAAGCGCTCCACCATCACCTCCAGGGAGATCCAGACCGCTGTGCGCCTCCTGCTGCCCGGTGAGCTGGCCAAGCACGCCGTGTCCGAGGGAACCAAGGCGGTCACCAAGTACACCAGCTCCAAGTAAACCTGCTGCTGCTGCTGCTGCTGCTGCTGCTGCTTGGACACAACAACACAACGGCTCTTTTAAGAGCCACACACCAACACTCAAGGGCTACACTCCTGTTACCTCAATGTGTCTGGTTTTCAAAAC